CGCGTTCCGAGGATTTCATACAAACTTCCCATGTAGACGATCCGAAAAAGGCAACAGTCGAAAAAAAAAGTTTAAATTTTTTTTCGATTTTCATATAGTATTTTTTTCTGCTCTATTGGTGTTATCGGCACATCGAAATTCGCGCTCCTTATCAGTTAATTTTCACTTCATAGACAAATCACGACCAAAACCACCATTAAAATGAATTATCATACCAATGGACTCAAAAGTGTATCAAACATTTTTGTTTCAATTAAAGTGAAACACAATTTCTATAGTCAGCCGATATTTCACGATTCACTTTCAAGCGAACAGAATTTATGTTGCACTCGCACAAAACTGTATCAAATCATGCATATTTTTTCAAAACAGTACATTGAGCGTGTCGCCGAACAAAGTGATACAACGTTCTGTTACTGGAACAAAATGAAACACTTGCCGCGCTTCGAAACAAAGCGCAACGTAAATAAAATAGTGACCAACGATTTCATGTTTCATATTGATCCAATAACAGATTGGTGTTTCACTTTGTTCGGCGATTTTTTTGCGTTTCGTATTCATCGGCGAAGAGTCAATACGTTCTTTTTATGCTCACGGATTCAAATGCCCAATCTCAGCTTACTAAGTTTCTATGCTGAGCATATATCCTCAGTTATCTGTCATTGACTGGTGATATGAGTAGTTTGGAGCGAAAATGTAACACAGAAAAGTTGTGTGGAAAATTTTCAAATGAAAAGAGATAGCTGTATAGTTCACTAGAGTTTACTATACAGTTATGTATATATCCGCTCATTCATCATCGACATTTTTCCGCGCAACTTTTCTGTATTACATTTGACCTATTTTTTTATAATGAAAAACTGATTATGTTATGTTAATGTTCTACAAAGATTAATTTAAATTGTTCAGATCTTCCGATCTCGACGTCAACTGCAAATTCAAAACTACCAACAGGGGCTTGTTTGGATAAGACGTAAAACTTCTCCTCAATTTATCACCTCCTTGATAAATTGAACGATGACTTTAGCAGTCATTGAGGCCATTATTACCACGTTTACGCCTCATTTAATCTTTTATTTTTACACGTATAATGGACCGTTGACATGGCTACCTTTATTCATTTCTATGCTTTGGTTAGGTTTTATTTTTTGGATCATTCAAATAACAAACTCTCATACAAGTCGAGAAACACTTTGAATCGAAGCTATCTATGTAATACCCTAACTGTATAAACATGGAAATATCAGGATTTTCATGACTCTTTAAGTCATTTTCCTGCAAAACTAAATATTCAGCCAGTTTTTTGGTAGTGTTTATAAATAATAATAATAATAATGATAATATCATAACTTTCTTAATATTGATCCCTTCACTATATCGTTTTAATAATCCACTTACTATTTTTTTCTTCACTGGCTTTGGCGATGGCTGTGCAACGGCTGCAGCAACTGCGGCTGCAACAGCGTCGCCTCGATCATTTTCTTCATGATTAGCTTCTCCTTCAAGCAACTTATCGAAAACACTTTCGGACGCGTCGTTGTTCTGCTCTTCATGTGTCGCTGTAGGTTCTGCATTGCAGCGGTATTTCTGCAAAACCGAAAACAATTCAAGCGTACCGAAATAAAATTATAATGATTTTTTTTCTTGTCTTACCACGGGATCAGATATATATTCTTCAATTTTTTGCACAGCTTCCTTGAATGCTGCCGTTTTACTCGACTTTATCAACTGGTCTTTGTACTCAAGATAGTTTTTAATATTGTTCTCTTCAATCCACGCACTGCAAATGATGACTGCGATATATTTTGCATCTTTTGAAATTAGAAATTCATCATTTTTTACTTACTAGTTGCAAGTTCCGAAGAAAAAAATACAACGTACTGGACCTTTTGCTTTTTTCGGTTTTTGACCAAGCTCAGGTGGAGGATAACAAATCTATGGTGAAAATGAAGTGAAACAATACAAACATACAAATAAGAATATAATTGGTACTTACACGTCCTGGCCAAGGTGAAAAGCCCTTCATTTTTGCCCTAATGAAAAAAAGTGAAATTCTTTTTATCTATATGTTCTGGAAGAAATGTTATCAAAAATTAGAGTATGCTTTCTGACGGATTATTGTTTTCAAACATAAATCGAATGGTTTTGTATTGTTGATCTTCTATGGTATATACGGTATAGTTTATCACTAAAATAAATCAGGTCAATTTCAAAACCATCAAGAAATGTGAGCGATAGGATGAATATCAAATAGTTGTGGATAATAATTAACGATTATCAAATGCTGCAATATGTAGAACATATAAGTTAGGTTAGAAAAACAATAACAACATCCTTTCAACTTCATTGTGCTGATTCGATACCATTGTAAAATATTCAATTTGAATAGAACTGTTTCTGATATTAGAGATATAATTTTAAAGAAGCGTTGAACTTTTTTATTACTCTTCTTCAATGTAAATCTAAAACTCTTCCAAATTTCTGGAATTCTTCTTCTCCGCCATTTTCATTTTTGAGTGTATATATTATTTCATATCATTAATACACATAGAATGTTAAAATAGCTTGATTAATTATATTTCCAATCATTTGATTTCTCGAACACAAATTTCTTGAAAAATTAACTCACCAAACTAAATCTTCCATATTTCGTTCAACCCAAACTTCTGTATACTATAAGTTTCGTGGGAAGAGTCGGCTTCAAATTGTTGTATCAACAAAAATAATACAATCACAAATACTTGGAAATAGTTCAAATTATACGATTGCAAAGAATTCTCACGGAAAAACTTCTTATGAACCAAAGAAAAATCATATAAAATTTTTAAATACAAATATTTTATACGATATTTTCAATGCTTAACCAATAAGACTGACGCTCAACACAAATTTACAGAGACGAGAAATGGCGGTCGCGCTATTTGTCAAAAGAATGCTACCAACTATATATCAACAAACAAC